CGAAACAACGAATACACGCTCATTCTACACAAAGCCAACAGAAAAAAACATTACGAATTGAAACACCATCATATATATCAAACTGTAAAAGCACATCCAACGGCAGCCTTCTCATCTATAGCCACCACCATATGGCTGTTGACCATAACCTCCAGTCCCCATATGATTATAAGGTGGAGGCATGGCAGAGCGAGGAGGAGCCCCAATCGGCTGTTGCATGTTCATTCCCATTCCCATTCCCATTCCCATACCCATTCCCATCATCGGATTTGCGGGAGGCCTGAGGGCAGTTGCACCAGCACGTCCTATACCAGAACCAGATCCCATGGCTTTCCCCATACTTACTGTCGATGTTACTGCTGCTGCTGCCGTCGGCTTCTCCATCCTCTTCTCCTTGCGGTTTATTGCGTCAAAATCAACTCCAATATCAGCCAATGGATTCGTCTTAGCTGCACGAAAAAAAAAAGAGAGAACACATACACATCAGGAAAAGAAATAAGCATCTAAACATGGATTCAGATAACAATTAAAATTTTTTAAGGCTTACGTCCGGATATATTCAGATTGACGAGTCCACGGCTGAGAGTGTCAGCCCAGACAGTGGACTTTGTCTCAAACTTGTCTTTCGATGGGGGAGGGGCTACAGTAGAAGACCCAGTCAAAGATGTATTAATTGATGTGGGACCCAGAAATTTTTGCTGAGCAGTGGACACAGGAGGAGCCATGTATCCACCAACTGGAGCAGTAGACAAAGGCTGTGGGTTGTAGGCCCCATATAAACCCAGATTTGGCTGTGTGGGACCACTTTGAGGTTGGTAACCCATCTGTAGTGGCTGTCCACCTTGAACCGGGTATGTCAAAGCCATGCCTTGAGTCTGAAAACCTGTTTGTGATGAAGGCTGGCCAATTTGATTAGGAAAACCAGAAGGCATGCCACTGCTTTGTGCTTGAAAATTGTTTGGTTGTGTTGGAGCTTGATTGGTTTGAGGGAAACCAGCGTGAGGCACAGACTGATTCGGTGGAAGTTGATATCCAGATGAAGGTGCAGACGGGGGAAGAATATCTGCTAATATATCAAGTTCCTGGCTCGGGTTAGACAGCTCCTGTGTGCTTGCAGGGGTAGGCTGCACACCAGAAGAGCCTGATGGCGTGTAAGTTGCTTCATAAGGATTGCCCCCAAATTCAGTAGCTGACTTCTCAGGTACTGGTTGATACGGGACATGTTGTTGAGTTGATACACTGTAGGCGGAAGGAATGGCTTTAAACGGGCCATCCCCAAACGGATCATCAAAAGCCTGGAAAAGAGAGCCCGTATTATTAGATTAATTGTCTAGTAAAGAAGTAATATAACATTTAACGTCCTGGAAATTGCCTAATTAAGATTTCTTATTTACGGCATATTTGTTTGCATAGTTACGGCATTCCGTCTGATATATCTGAAGCTGTTTATGAATATAAGTGAGGGAAACAGACATTTGCAAATAATCAAGTTTCATACTGGTGTTAGAGCAGTCCTATTGTAGCCTGTTGCTCTCTTTACTACCTGCTCTGTCACTTTCTCTTCTTGGTGTGTTTTCCCTCAGTTTGGTGGTGTCGTGTAAGTCCCGAGCCACTTTCTATATATTAGCTCAACTTTATTTCCAGAAATAGTAAGTTCATATTTATGCCGAGATTCATTTATTTATTATTATTTGCATAATTAATTTAAAGACCTAACTTTAAGCGGAGAAAATGTTTGAATTTTATTTCGGAAACAAAATAAAATTTAAATCTAAGTCTCGATTTATAATTTTAATTGAGTATTAGAACAAGCGAGCATTTATTTAATTTTCGAGCCGAGCTATTTTATTTCGGCGCAAGTAGCCCAATTATTTCAAGCTCATAATGCGACCCATTATATTCAAGATATTTTAATTCAAGTCATCGTCTCATTGTTCGGTCCAAGTAGCATTTATATTATCGAGCCCAAGTCGAAGATTTTCTAAGCCCGAGTCAAATAATGTTAGAAGCCCAAGTCAATTAAATACTAAGCCCAATTTAGAGCCCAACAACACAGTCAAACCCTAGCATCTACATCTATATATATAGAAGGCATATCCTCGTTTCATCTCCTACACAAAACCCTAGCCCAACATTCTTATATATATATACCTTATATATATATATATAGATGTATTGATGCTAGGATTTGGGTGTGTTGTTGGGCTCCAAATTGGGCTTAATATTAATTGACTTGGGCTTCTAAAATTATTTGACTCGGGCTTAAAAAATCTTCGACTTGGGCTCGATAAATTAAATACTACTTGGACCGAACAATAAGACGATTGTTTGAATTACAATATCTCGAATATAATGGCCACATTATGGGCTCGAAATAATTGGGCCTACTTGGGCCGAAATAAAATAGTTCGGCTCGAAAATTAAATAAATTCTCGACTTTTCTAATACTCGATTAAAATTATAAATCGAGACTTAGACAAAAATTTTATTTCGTTTCCGAAATAAAATTCAAACATTTTCTCCATAAGCCATTAGGTCTTTAAAATAATTTTGCAAATAATAATAAATAAATAAATCTCGGCATAAATATGAACTTACTACTTCTGGAATTAAAGTCGAGCTAATATATAGAAATTGGCTCGGGGCTTACACGACACCACCAAACCGAGGGAAAAAAAGACCAAGAAGAGAAAGTGACAGAGCAAGTAAAGGGAGCAATAGGCTACAATAGGACTGCTCTAATCCGAGACAGAAGCATCATAATACCGCAAACAAAATCCTTCAAAAAATAGAAAAAAAAATTGCAGTTAAGAATACAAGTGTTAAGGGGGTGATTGTTTACCATTTGTACAGTAATTTTTTTTACTCAAATTCAAATTTAACTCAACTTTAACTCAACCACACTATCTCTAATATTATTATATAATTAAATAACATCAACAAATCATTATTACATATCACATCAACTTTAATTCACTATTCATCTACTCACATACTTTTAACTAATTTTAACTAACTATCACTTCCAATCATTTTCTCTTACTTTTACATCAAATTAACTTTAATTATTTTATTTTAAATACTATTTCAATATATCCACTAACAACTAATCATACCACTTTTTCTTAAACTTAACCATAATTAAAAAATTCTAGATTTTTTACTATTCAAAACATAAACAATAATCACCCCCTTAATGGACTAGAAGAGAACTAATGATGAAAGAAAGAAACAGAACAAAACACAGGCTCCATTTTTTCCAAGGTAACATCATACCTACTAATAAAGGAATCATCTTTTCCAGACAGGACGATTGTAAAACCTAATAAAGTTCAGACCAAACAACAGTTTGGTTCACATAGAGGCGTACAGGTTATTTTCCACCTTAAATAGCAGCAAAAGTTCAGTATTCAGGCTATCGGATTTTTTCTTCTTTTTTTTTTAAAAAAATTATCTTTTAGGATCTTTTTTTCATTCTCCTATCTCTGTGGGAATAGGTTATTATTCTTCACCTGTCTCATATGCAAATGGCTAAATGGTAGAGATTACCTGATTATGAATTGTGGCTTCTGAAGATGCAGCAGTTGCTTTTCCAGGCCCAGAATTAAAGTCTAAAGAGGCACTAGCTTCAGGAGTTGGGGTGGGCTGACTAACAGGCACAAGTGCAAATTCGGACAAAGAGCCCAGTAGGTCGATGTCCGCAGCAGAACTAGCAGAGACGGCACCATTGAATGTAGTTGGGGCAGCTATCAAATAGAATTTAGAACAAAATTGAGTTTCCAAATATCTGATAACACAGAACCATGGTACACCAGTAGGTGCAAAATTCTCAAACAATCAACAAGTAAAAACTCATAAATCATAATGTCAGGAGGGGGAAAAGGGGCAACAAAAAAAAAATAAAAAATAAAAAAATAAACTAAAAGAATCGCCCACAGGAGAAGTTTAGTAACTTAATATTAAACCTAATTCTTTGGCATAACTTAACGTGTTGACTTAAAGGAAAACTTACCCAGGAGAGGAATTTGTTAGCTTGAACAGATTGTAATACATGAGGGTCTGTTTGGTTCTAACAATGGGCAAAGGGTGCACAATTATATTTGAATAATGATCAAAAAAATCAATCAGAAGTAGAAATGGAAAATAAGGAATTCTATCAGGAAAGAAAAAATAAGAAAAATAAATGCTTTCTCCACCGCAAAACAATATACATGTGCTTGTGGAAAAAACAAACAAAATCTTAGTCGACTGTATGTTAATGTTTTAATACAAATATTTAAGAATGTGAAAGTTCGAATTCAGTACTTGGTTTTATTGTCACAGTAACTAACATTCAGTCTTTCAGAAGAGAAAACTCGAAGCCTAGTTTAGTTGACAAATCAAATGCATTGGTCATGTCATGTTTCAAAGAATGCATGCTCCAGAAATGTAAGCATTCTTGCGTTCCAATAGCTATGTTAAATACTGTAATAGCAGTGCAGCAGTTCCTCACGACATCCTATAAAATACTAACATGAACAACATATAATTTTCCACAAAAGCTAGAATTAGTTTATTACTAGGCATGATTATCATCTTTTCAACCCGTTTCCCATATCATCCCCCCCGAAAATACAAAATGAGCATTTTGACCCCACATTTTTTTTTCATCTTTTAATGTAAAACTCATATATACCGAGCAATCTACAGTTACGAATATCTCATAACCTAATCAACTAATGCCATGTAACTCATTTTATTATTGATTTACCTGAAAACGAGCCTCTCGGATCAAATTCATCAAATCCATCAGTTTCCTGGTTGTTAATTTGAGTTGGAGGCTGAGCTGGAGCAAGAGCAGATGCTGAACCAGGTGTCGGTGCTGAAGCAGGAGTAGGTACGATAGCAGGAGGTGAAGCAAGTGCAGGAGGTGAAGTCCCAGCACTAGTTATGTGGCTTGGACTGGCACCTTTGGGGGATGAAGCTTTAGGGGCATAAGCTAGTGAAGAATCTCCATCCCTGTTAAGATCAAAAGTTAGAACCAGACATAAAATTTTCAGTGGAGCCCATGTATATCAGCTTGTCACGATCAAAAGTTGGAACCAAACATAAAAGTTTCAGTAAAGCCCATGTATATATGCTTGTCACCTTTCACTGTAAGAAGGACTACGACTAGCACCAACAGCATCTTCATAACTAGGAGGTACACCAATGCTTTGCCCAGAGTATTTACGGTCCAGACTCCTGGCAGTAGAACTGATTTTGAAATTACATTAATTAAAATGATTCCACTGTAATAGACCAAGCTAAAATACAGTAGAAACAGGCCCACAAATCAAAAATACCTTCCATCGTGAGACCGATCATCAGCTTTGGCACCACTTCCTCTGCAAACGAAAAAATACAAGTGTGAAAACTAGACATGTTCAAACATATAGCACACTAAAAGGGGCTACGAATTTGATTAGCTAGTATGCTAGCAGTGAACCAAATACATATAGACAACATATTATTCAAGGAGCCCGTTAAAGTGAACCGTGAAGCAGTACAATAAAGAGATAATCTTAAGATCAGATGGTTTCACTTCGACTGAGGTCGAAGGTGTTGATAGGTATTACAAACTTCCTAATAGTTGTTTGCTAAGAGCTTTCATTGGATTGACAACTTTTAAAAGCTAGCAAGATCACTGATGAGCTTTCTATTTGTTCGATTGTGGGACACCAGATATTAAGTCCAGTAAGACCCCGAGCTCTATTAAGCTTACTCTGTTTTATTAAATTCATGCATACAACAATCTCCAAAAAGATTAAATTGTTTCATTCTTTTTAGGGGCAAGAGGCACGCTAGGGGCGCCTCTGGTACATGGTGCCAAAAATAGGTAGATTTAGGTATTTAATTTAATATGACAAATTAACAAATCATAAACAAAAACATAAAAATATCAATATTTGGTTACACATTTTGAATACAAATCATTCACATAGGAAGGAAACTAAGTATAATAAATAAATAAATAATGAAACCCTCATTTTTTGGTACTATTCTGGATTTTTTAGCAAGTTAGAACAATATGTTTAGATATAAAATTAGAAGCAAGCTTCGGTAAATGGAGAAATGACATTGTTTGGATAGCAGGTGTTTCCAGCGAGTCTCGCACCTCTATTTAATGCTGGTTTCAGAAATTAGCACATTAGGTACACACAACACAAGCAACTTGAAATCGCACCCAAATTTTATGCAACTAAGTATTTGTTCTGAACTGATGGCCACATAAATGTAACTGTCATATATTATTTATACAACATATAATATCACCAACTCCAAGAACAAGAACTGCTCAAGCTGATATGAACCAATTTTACTAATGGCGGATGGCAGTAAATGGCGGCCTATGGTGCCGCCATAACCGCCATCCTACACAAATTTAGCATGGTGGTTTGTCAAAAATCCGCCACGCAATACCGCCATGGCCGTCATTTGATAACACTGTTACACGCATGTTGAATATATTCAACCAGTCTTGATACTATATCCATCACAATCAGTTCCTAAAAATAAATCATTAAACTGGAACTTGCAAGCATGTAGCTAAAGAACCTCTTTATAAGAAAGTCATAGTTCTAACTTTAACTTCAACTCCAACTTCATATGTTGCTCACAAAGTCCCACTATGGTCTACAGCTCTAAGCCATAAACATATGCCTGAATGTTAAATAAGCATTCATTTCCATTCTGATCATTCTAATCAGCATGCCACCCCCAATTGACATCCACACTACGGAAATAATAAATATAAAATGAAATTACGTACAAAAAATATACCAAAGAATTTGATATGGAGTTGGCTATTTGGAGATTTAAGAATTCAACGAACCTGGATGAGTACTGGCCATCATCCTCATTTGAACGACCCCTATCTTGATCAGCACTTCTACTTCTTGACCCATTATGATATCCATCAGTGCTCCGACTTCTTCCTCTGTAGTCATCATCCCTGTACCCATCTCGGCCATATGATTCCCGACCATACCTATCATCATCTCTGGAACCCCATTCTCTTTCCCTCCCATAGCTGTTCCGTTCATCTTCTCTGTTTCCATATCGGTCATCATCATATCTGTCGCCGTACCCTCTGGAGCCCGGACGATACATACCACCATCCGGAGTACTGCGGTACCTATTAGCATTTTAATCATACAAAAAATCAAGTTTATTTATGGAATAATAGAAAAGCATAAATTTATAGAAAATGAAACAAATCAAAATATATATATATATAGAAATTATATAACAAATCTGCCCAACATGAAGAAAATGAAGAATACACACATGAATGGCTAAAGAATAAATAGAACAAGAATCTCCTTAAAAATAATAATTCATGGCCGATTTATGTACATGCCAAGGGTTTGAATACATTTTTGTGTATTTTGAGGAACTATAGTCAATACGGAGCCTTCATTTAAACTACTGACAGATAATAGAGTTAAACTTACATCAACCACTAGCAATCACGTGAAAAACCATGGAACTTGACTGAGTTTGCAGCCAAAGTTACATACATGGAAATTGGGAAGACAATTTCTCAAAGTGTAACGTTATGGAAATATCTATATATTTTACCTTTGAACAGATAGATTTTAATAAAAATTACACCCCAACTCCACCATTTTTCAAGCACATGATATCTAGGAAACTAAAAAATTCTCAGCTCCAAAATCCATAATGAACTGAATTGCTTTGAAATATATGTGCGCTGGACAAACCAAAGTCATGCCTATCATATATTTCAACACTATAAGATTTTGGCAGCTAAATTACAGATGCAGCACAGGACGTGAAAGCTTCAGCTTCCAAATACTTGCACAATTAACGAGGTTCCTATCCATATGCAAAAAAGAAAAAGTTCACAATCCTTATGATTACTTGAATCTTAATTACCTTATTTGTCAGTAACTGTTTGTTTTCTTTTACAGTAAGACAGAGCCTCCATTGTTACAAAAAACTGATTCAAAATACAGCATACATTTATTATGCTCCCATGTCCACTTTCGTTTTGCTATTCAATTAGCCATAGAAAGCACAAATTTCCAATGATTTTAATTTGGATGTCAAGCATATTGATGACCACATTTATTTGTAACTAAGAAATGGATAGAACTACGCCTACACCATCCATACAACCCAGCACCTGAGGAAAATGACATTTCCACTCGGACACGTTTTGAAAATTCAAGGAAATTCTAATTGCCAAAGTACTCCCAAATCCCTGGCTCAAATGATAGTTGAAACATGAGGCATGAATCAATCCACCTCGGAATAATCAAATTCCACACAGCTGAATGTAGATTTGTATACTAACCTAAATAGATCATGACCAAGATACAAACAAAAGAAAGCTTCAAATTTCCAAATGTACACATAATTTCACTGTGAATGAGTCTATAAAGAGTGAAGTCCGAGCGTAGAGGACTCAACAAGAGTCCAAGACTAATAGTGAACATAAAATCATCAACTTCCAACAAAAGTACATGAGGGTAACCTTCATATAGACTATCGAGATATGATCATGGAAGATACATACTCATTATACAATATACGATAGTGATAAGAATCTTCACAAATACATTACATGATAATTACAAGTTGAAAAACCAGCATATTACTAATGTGTGCAATTCAGCAATTTATAATGCTCACTTACTTGTCCCTATTAGCAGCAGCCTTCTGTCTAACTTCCTGTATTCTTTCCTTGTCATTAACCAGCACTACAAGACTTTGAGATTTCTTTCTAACATTGTTCCCCTGGTCTTTCCCACTGGAATCAATATATTGGAAATCTGACAGTGTCTATCACAAGATAGATATTGAAAAACAAGTGTTAACCTACTGCTCTGATTAACCTTAGGATAAGGTCGAATCCAGATTCCAGAAGAACAGGAAACTAACAGATATTTGGTATGAGTGTTCTCTGATGTCATCTATGACGCGCTCTGACCCATGGGCTACCAAGTACTCTAAAACTGTCAGTGCCTGTAACAATCAGAAGAATCAGTTAGTTACTGTAGAAGGCAGCTGCTATGAATTCTACAGAGAGAGAGAGAGAGAGAGAGAGAGAGAGAGAGAGCTCCTATGGGAGAGGATGTATAAGAAAATGCCACAAAAACATTACAACGAAGTCTGAATTAAAATTCAGTATGTCAAAACGAGTAACTAAATGTGCTAGTGATTGGGTTTACAGCTGGGATGAAAGGATGTAATAAGCAGTTGAATCTCCCCAGCCTCCACTCTGAGGGATTGAGCATGTTTTAAAGTAAAACAACATGGTACAATCAACATTGAACTCTGTTCTATATCATCAGAAACAAACCTTGTACACATGCCGCCAATTTTTCCCAGTATCATTTGTACGTTTCCAGATAACCGACATGATCATCTGATACTCGTGACTGTTAAACTCACAAATTAGCAACTTAAAAAAAAAATTAAAAAAATAAAAACTGGGGCTCAGGAAATACTCTACATTGAGTTAATCCACACTTACTAATTTCTTGTTGCATTAGCAATATCAGCAAGAAGTGACCCATGAGGACCCCAGGGCTCATTGCTAGTAGCATCAAGAACCTTAAAAAAAATACCACTTTACAACAGTCAGTAAGAATTAGGAAATGCTAGCTCTCATTCCACCGCTCTAATAATAATAATAATAATAATAATAATAATAATAATAATAATAATAATAATAATAAACAGAAATAAGAAACTGCAAACTGGTCAACCATCTTGTCATGTAAATACTTGGGAAAATGAAAAGCCAGTCACCAGAAAAGAAAACTATTACCTTCTGTTCAATCGAAGGGACTTTAAGAACTTTCTTGTTGACTTCTCTCTTACTGCAAGCGAGACAAACAATTCAAGCTCAGTGACAAATCACATCTCCACTTATCTATGAAATATATTAATTCTTTCTTCACAAAATGGTTTTATACACCAATGAATACTAATCCAAGATTCAATAACAGATAGAAGATCATAATGAGGGAAATTAACAGCGCAGCAGGTACATTGCTTAAACAGTAGAAGAACTCACAGATCGCGAACAGTTTGATCAAAAGCCTTCTTCATATCACAGTTCTAGGGAAGAGGGATACAAAATCAGCTTAACCTTCCCAAGTTATATGCCTGCGCAGACAAATGCATTAATATACGCGGTTCGAGCAGAGTAGGTCAAATTTCATAAGATTTTATCGCCATTGAATCAAGAGTTTTCCAGAAGGTGTGATCAATTAATTTCAAATAAAAGCGCTTCTGATTACAGTAACTCATCTGCGTCAACAATTATCGCAGAAAATCAAAGCCACAAGGAGAAATGATCTTCGGAACCAAAAACTACAATCAACCCAATATAATCAATTAACACAAAACAAAATAGAAAAAGCAAAGAACAAAAACATCATTTTAGAGATAATTACACAGACAATTAACAATTGTAAGAAAAGTGATCAAATTTCCCGAGAAAGGTAGATTTTTAATGAAACCAGCAAATTAAACACCAACACAGATCTGAGAATCCAAACAAATGAGGGGTAGAAATCCAAGTTTTCTTACGCAGAGCTGACAGAGAGCTGACACAAATAAGATCTTAGGTACCCAACATAGCCAAATCATAGATCCAACCAACAGTTACTATGCATCGGAAATATAAAAATTACTGAGGAAGAAGACAGACACCTACAAAATTCAAAGCCTCTTCGACGGTACAGGAGATTAGAGAGAGAGAGAGAGAGAGAGAGAGAGAGAGATGAAGAAATTGGGTTGATGGTTGTCGCGATCCAGAGAGAGAAAGTGAGTTGCGGAAAAAGCGAAACGAAGACAAAAGGAGATGCCCGCACCGCGATGTGAATTCTTCGACGTACGCGAGAGTTGTCTTTGATTGAAACCATAGTTTTTAAACCAGACCCGGTTATCGAAACGGGCAGGTCTCCAGTCATCGGGTTTAACCGTCGGATCACTAGGTCAATTGTTGAATTTTAAAATTTTAAAATTAGATATAGAATATTTTTGTGGTATAAATATACATAAAAGTAAGAAAATTAAATGTTTTGAATATAAAATTTGTACACTAAAGTGTTAATAATATATATCTAATGATAAATATTTACCATATAAATATACATACATAATTTTATTTTTCAAAACGAAAAATAAAAAATAAAAAAAATTATTAAAAAATATGTATTGGGCCGGGTCAACCCGGCCGAGTCATTGCCCCGGGTCGGCTGGGTCAAGGCCGAGTTTGATCGAGTCCTTTGTTGCCCGGTTCAAATAGCCTGCCCGGACCAGTTCCAGCTCCAGGTCGACCGGGTCACGGGTCGCCAATGGGCTAATTCGGGTCGAAAAGCTACGGTTGAAACTCGTAGGCTGGGTCTAGTTCGGATCGAAAAACTACGGTTGAAACTCGTAGTTTTTTTTTTTTACTGCAAAATATATTAATAAATAAACACGTATTTACAAAAGGCTAACTAGTCGAATGACACAATTAAGTTAGCGGCTAAAATCAGAGAGATCCAAAAGTTAAAACGACTGTAGCTTAGAAATTACTACATTAAACACACTTCCAAAAAAAAAATAGAAAAAAACAATTATTAGCAACACTAGAATACAAAATCTCTTACATGTGGAGAATACTACAACTCAAACAAAAAAAAAAANAAAAAAAAAAAGAAAAACACACACAAAGACAAATAAAAACAACACAAAAACGCAGAATTTTTTACTAAAAAATTATAAAAAAAAAGTTAAGTTGTGGAGAAAAAAATACACAAACAAATGAGAGTGGACCATAATAAAAAACCCGTATTAAATGAATACGTTTTACCATTTTTTTAATTGTAAAACGTATTCATTGAATACGTTTTCTTTTGAAAAAAATTCTGAAAAAACGTATTTAAGGAATACGTTTTCTATTACGTCCTTTTTATTTTTGTCCACTCCCTTTTTTTTCTTTTTTTTTTTGTCCACATGTTTTTTTTTTATTTTTTTTTATTGGTAAATTGCTCCAAAAACGCAACATAAACATACTTAAACCCTAGCTACTAGAAAAAAGGATAAAGCCCTTCACGCAGTCGACAACCCCACCGAACTAACCAAGACAACAGCACCCGCAGCCGACCAACCACGTAGACAGAGTCATGTCCCAAGAAGCGAATTCAGAAACTGTCAATCAACATCTAACTAGATCCTCTGCTAAGGAGCCATACTCACGTCTAGTCGACGG